TGTTCTCCACAATCAAATCGCTCAATCACACATAACTGTAGTACAGGCCTATCAGTATAAAAAGATTTATGTTTTCTTTATTCAATAACTTAAAAAAAATATATATATTACTTTGCTATCTTTTGTTTTATTACATCTCCATTCATATTTCTTTTCCATCTGGTAACTATAGGGTCTGCTGCATGATTTGGACCCCATTTTCCTAAATTCCAACGACCTTTTTAAACCAGTTCTTCCACATGATTTATTGGATAGCCATCAACTACTTTATATTTTCCATGATAGCTTTTCCTATTTTATATGAACATCCTCCTCATTCCATTTGGGATTGAATGAAGAATCACCTTCATAAGAAATAAGAATTCTAGTATAGAATTAAATAATAGCAATTCATGTATTGATAATATTATGTTGCTAATTTTTTATTAGCAACTCACCTATATCTGGATCTGCCCAAGTTTTCCTGTCAGAATGTTCGAATTATAGACTGAGGACTGTATTCCGGCCACGATGTGCAACCAGTCTACCAAATCATCTGGTACAGTCATCTTTTAATATTAGAATGAGGATAAATACCTCCACGACATTTAAAATGTTTGGCAATTTGCTTGGTTGACATTTTGTTAACGTATTTAAATTTGATCATGGTTACTAGTGCTATCTCTTTTATCTGGTTACCATGGTAAAAAACAGCAAAAAATAAATGGCGCGCCTTTTTCAAATTTCAAAACTATCAGCATTAATGAATTGATACGTTTTTGGTAATATTAATATATAATATATCAAAGAAGGTACTAAAATTACAGAGTAATATTCAAAATATCAAATTTATTATCATGTTTTATAATATCAGATTTGGCATATAATTCATCAGGATAGAGAATCTGTCTCTATCCGTTTGTATTCAAAAGCTAAAATCACTCAAAGATACTTCATCTTGAACATTTACATTCTTTTTCCGTTCTTGGTGTTGCAAAATGGTATGGTTTTTGATGTGCTTTGGCGCACATTCTATGTCTTTAATCTCTTTTATATAGTTATTTCTGAATTTAATTTCAAATCATTTGAACTTTTATTAGAATGTTTTATGTTGTTCGAATAGAAGAATCACTTTGTAACTGATCATCTGGTGTTCATTATTCCTAGACTTTGAATGCTGTAATAAAATATTATATTATTTATACTTGCTGCTCTTTATAGCTATTTTGAACTGAATTACATTAATATTACCTAGATAAATCAAAATCTGAATCGTCCTGACTTTTACCATCACTGCTTAGTGTTTTATGAGTATTTGCATCCAAATCAAAAACAACGGTTTTTTATTGCTCCTTTGATCGCCAGATCCAACTTCAAACATATTTTTCAATGGTGAATTTTCAACATCTTTAGAATGATTTTGATGTAATTTGTCTTCACTTTCATCATCGGTCATTGATTCAACATATATCGTTGAATGTTTTTATTTTCAGGAACTATCAATGTTAGTTTTATAATTGCTTTGGGAATCCATGTCAGTTTTTAAGAAGTGTTACTCATTTGCGGTCGACTGGTGCTTGGTCACAGATAGGGGCTGGTGAATATCCTTATGGTTCCATCTTGTTCTTCTGTTAGATTTTTCACGTTATCGATGGAGGAAGAATCCTCTTTACCTGTAAATTTATATAAATAAATATATTGCACAAATTTTCTCCCACATTTGAGTTGTGCATAACCCAAATTGATAATATATTAAGTGAGAATTCCCACCCGTGAGAAGGCGGATTCTTCATTTTTCAATTGATTTGTGGTAGTATTCTGCAGAGGTTTTTTTATTGAAATCAAACGGTGTTGGTCTCAGTATAGGATAAGCAAGTAGTTTTTCCAACGAAACCGACGTTATTGGCTTTTTGACTCGCATTTCTGTTTCATAAAAAAATATTGCCTTATATTATAAATATTATTTATTAAAAATAATTTTTTTCAGGTCATTACCAAAGTTCTTTAAGTGATTCATCATCTGAAGGGATATTACTATCACTGTGATGCAATCCATCCTTTTTTAAAAACATTTTTTGTTTTGCCCGTGTTTGGAGATGATGTTTTGATTAATTTCGCGCTCGTCGAAGTAAATTCCCTGATCTTCTACAATAGAAAAATGATATGATTCTTTTTATAGTAATAATGAAAAATATGATATGTCGTTACCATATGATAGGTTAAATTGTGAATCCAATTCTCTTTTTAATTTTGTGGGAGATTTTTTAACATCATGTTTTCTCAATAAGTTAGGAAGAATTTCCATGGATTTCGTTTTGAATGCACTCAGGGCCGACCTGACTCTGCCCGTTTTCGGAGAAATGGAAGACCGACGATTTTCATCGTCACGGAACCAGGAATATTCTGTGATCCAACTTTTCTGAACGTTAGTTCTAACATCTCTTTGGGAAGCCGCGTTTTCTACTTCATCATCAATTCTTTCTTCTAACTGTTGGTAAACTTCTTCCAAGTTTACGCCACGTTTCGTAAATTGCTGATAAGAAAACATTTAAGTAATTTTAAAATATAGGGCTTCAAATTTAAATCCTTGATCGTCAAAATATAAATATAATTATAATTATGTCATATATTATCATTAAAATGATTTAACACTATAGTCACTTACTTTACTCTTCAACTTTCTTTCATGAACGATAATATTCATACATTTCTGATAATCCCCATCTAACATTTCATTAGAAGATGGATCAACATTTAATTTCCATAGTCTTTGTTCCAAATCTCCAATCAAAGAATCTCTGTACATTTTTAACTCTTCTGGATTTTCAAACAGAGCTTCCCGCAAACTTAAAAAAATTAAAATTATTTGATCATGATTAACTATGAATTTTTAAATAAAAATAAATATTACCTTTCCTTGTATTCAACATGTAAACTATTATAATTAGCTAGATATATTGAATATCCTACCTTGAAAGCGATCTATATTGTATATTTGAAGTAGAAGGCTTAGTTTTCAGAAATTCATCATGCAAGGATTGTTCTTGGTTGTTGGTTATTTCTTCTACTAATCCCTCATTTTCATCTCTGTCATGAATATCAGCTTCTACTACGATTTTATTTAAATTATTATTTTCTTTTTCTTTAATATTAGGAGTACGCGTATCTTTTTTTGAAGAGATTTGAGATATTTTATCAGGCTTTTCGTGGTTTTTATTAAAGCCCATCTCATTCAATGATGCTAATGTAAACCTTTCTGGAATTTTTGATTGTAATTTTCTTTTAGAAGATTATGCTCGTTATTATCAGAACCAAGTAATTTATAGAAGGCTGCAGTGGGTTGACTTGTGATTTATTTTCCTTATCGATACTGAAATCCTCTGTAGTCCTAGAGCGTAAAGATTTTGATGCAGTTTGGATTTTTTCTTGTGAGCCTTTTTCATACTTGATGCGGATTGTAGTTAGCTTGCTTTATGTCACTCAAGATTTGCATAAGATGTTTGGTATCTTGATCAAATTTATTTTCTAAAGCATCACATCGATTTTTCCAAAGGTTTTCTTGATCTTCTATTTTTCTATTAATTTCCATCCACGATGTCCTGTCTTTTAGACTTTCTATACTTCTTAGAAATTGCTCCTTAAGATCTTTTATTTCTAGTTCGTATTTATCTTCGCCTAATATATTATTGTCTACAACTGGCTGATCAGTGTTTACACTCGCGTCTTGAAATTTCCTATCACTTGTTCTTTTACATAAATCTATTTCTTCACTCGCAATCTAAATGTTAAATAAATTATGTATTCCAAAAATTAAAACTAAAAAATTAATAGAATTACAAATGAATTACCAGAGTTTTCTCTGCATTAGCCAGTCGTTCCTTTAGTTGTTTAATCTCGAGTTGCAATTTTACAATATCTATATGTTGAGAATCAGGAATAACCACTGCAGAAGAAGAGGCCAATGGTGGCATTTCACCTGATGCAACATTTGTTTGACCATTTGTTGTAATGTTTTGCATGGACTTGATATCTAACTAGCAAAAGAAATATATGGTATTAGATAAAAAATATAATAGATCAGATGTGTAACATACCTGATTTTGATGCACAACTGGACCACTATCTCGTTCTGGTTGCTCATCTTTATGACGTCTCTGCAAATGAGCCTGGAGGTAGACAATGTTTAGAAATGTTTTTCCACAAACATGGCAAGATGGATCCAAACCATGGGAGTGAATTATAGGTAAACTTCTTCCAGATTCTAGAGCAAAATCTTTCTCTATTTTCTTTTGACGTAATTTTTGTATTTGGTCATCTTTGGATTTTATATTCTTCTTTAGATTAGTAATTTCCTGAAAAGTAATATGAACAAAATATATTTTATCATCTAAATATATTAATGTAGTCAGCTATTATTAAAGATATTAATTAAAAAACATATACAAAATATAAATAAAATACAATATAACATATCATGATCATGTTTTAATTAATGGCGTTTTTAGTAGGATTCTGATCTGAATCTAATTAATTAAATGTATATTGAATGCTAATGCTACTTTCACATGAAATTAGATTAAAATTTCCATTATCAAAGCTTTGATAATATTTTCATTATCTAGATAATGAATCATATCAATAAATTGTTTAAAGTTATTATAATTTTGTGTTCACCTATACCTTCTGTTGCTCTTTTATGGTTGCCCTCATTACAGTAACACTTCTGTCCAGAAATTGTTTGCAAAACAATAAATACTGAATTGCTAACTGAGACACTCGGAAGAGCTTACTAACTGCTGCGTCTAATGCTCGAGATTCCAGGAGACTTCCTATGGGGCCATCCAAAATATATTGAAGAGAATATTCAAGACTTGCAAAATCTCTTTCTCTATAAATTCGATCCACATCTACACTGCCTAAAGAATAAATCATGATAAATATAATAAAGTGGTTTAAAAGTGATATTAACAATAATTATAGATTCTAACCTATAGATGCCCAATCAAATTTTCCCGGTAGCGAAGGATCGTTAAAACAGAAGCCAGCTTCTTTCGCCAACTTGGGAAAATCGTGGTGCCATGTGTACGATACTCGACAAGACATAATTAATTACACCTTATAATTTATTATGCATACATATGTTTTCAAATAATATATCTATATTATAAACAATTGGTTTGAATTACGTGAAGTATTCAAATACCTTGTTTATTTACTTTTTCAATACCTCTTCTCGTTGCCAGGTAACGGATGTAACCGATTTTGTACATTTCCGGCGCTGCCACCATAGAAAAACAACAACCTAAATAATATATAAATAAACTATGTAAATGAAAAAGACAATTATAATACATTTGTTACATAACAAAAAATTAAAAAGACATATAAAAAGTTAATTGCATTTATGATTATTCTTAGATAAACAACAGTCTCAATCGCCTCAATGAAAAATATCTCTAGCGAAGTGTTGCCATTGCTGATTTTTTAAATAAAAAAAAAAGGAAACTAAAATTAAAAATATAACTATAGCCATATCATCTAAGTTTTTGTATTATTAGTATTATTATACTATTTGTATTACTATTTATCGGCTCGATTTACAATCACATTCTATTTTTATAATTACTTTACAAACACCATTTGACAGCTCAACACTGTCAACGAGCTGTCATTTGTAATCGAAATCGAGGTATGAAAGTGATAAGATAACATTTCTATTTTTTTACTGTATTTTTATTACCATAGCATTAATTTCGATTTTTTATTTTGCAGTTACAATAACAATTATGGTACTTCTTGGATCTGTAAGATCATTAGCGCTTCAAAGCGCGAAGGCTAGAATACCTATGATAAAATTCAGAAAGGGGGCCGCAGTTTCTGCTGATCATAATACTAGTGGTTCAAAGAATCAAAGTCAAGGCAATTCAATGAATGTAAGTAATGTATAATTAGTATGTTCTTTATAATAGCATATTTGAAACCATATTTTTATACATGTAAATCGATTAAATGTTCATTGAAAGAAATTAATTTCTATGACAGATCTTGTATATAAAAAATTTTACTCACTTATTATTTAGATGTCAAGTGCTTATTCGACAGAAGCTATTGAAGATTGGCAACTACCTCTAAAATGGAGAAGACGAAACATTGATCTAGATGAAGTGGATTATATCAATCGTGGAGGCCCTGCATAAACTTAAATTTTAGATTAACATAGAAATATTTATTGTAGCAACTGTTCAAAAATATATAAATTATATTTCTATTTACAATTTTTTATTAACTGGGTATAAAATCACATTTAGTTAATTATAAAATATATAAAATTCATTGTTATATCTCTACTAATAAAATGTCTTTTAAAAATAAGTTTAGGTATTTACGTATCAATATATAACCCTGGATGAAAATAACAAGTATTAAAACTGATATTTTCATAATATGGTGTCTGAATTTTATTATCAGATGTTAAAAGTTTCTGAATTTTACAGCAACTTGCTTCATCATACTTTCAACATCTGTATCACACGCATTCTCTGCCCATATATTACAAATTGTATTAATGTACCAAGTACCAGTTTCTGCCTCCCGATAGGACTGAAACCCTAAATTGTTTTTTTATATCTCTATGAATGTTATATCCATTGTTTTTATTGTATTATATAGAATAAAAAATATTACCTGGTATTGTGGAATGACAAATTAACATATCACTACATGTGGGCATAGCACGCATAGTTGATCCTCCATCAACCATAGATTTAGCTAATTTAGAAGTAGGTGCATCATTAAGTGAATTATCTGAAATATCACCCCTAAAATTAAGAATTACTATAACATTTACTCATAAACCAAAAAATAAGTGTTAATATTGCACTATAATTTCAAAACAAAGCATATTTTTCAACATACCTACAACATTGAAATATAAATTTTTAGGTATATTACGTAATAAAGGGCATTGCCGGTTATTAAAACAGTCAGTAATCCATGATAAATATCTGGATTATGATCATATGAGAAAATATATCCATCTCTTTTAAAATCATTTCCATGGCTCATTACAACAACTATGCAACAGTCAGTTTTATGTAATAGTTCCGTATTTGAAGAAAACTTTGTTACAACGGTTTGTATATCATGCATATTAAGATTCATATAATCCTCTCCAATAAAGTCCATTTGTTTAAATAATTCAAGTAAATTGCTGTGATCTATTTCAGCCCCCAGTCGTTTTTGTTCGCACTATAAAGACAAGTATTAACTAGTATTAGAAGCCAAGCATAAGACAATTATGTTTCACTGTATTATCTTACATCATTGACAAACTCTATATTATTTATGATAAGGTAGACACCTCTTTTTTTGATCTCATTGGATATTTAGTTTCTTCAGTATCCATCATGTCATAAAACTGAGTGCCTTTTTTTACTTTAATCAAAATTGGATTAACTGACATATCAACCTGAGCTTGATTTTCTATTGCGCTAGCTTTATTGCCTCATTATTCGATGTTGGTGGCAACATAAGGATGTATATGTTGTGTAACCTCAGTTGGACTATTAGACGTCTGAGATAAACTTCTTTCATAATTGTTTTGTTGATTGTTAAGAATGTATGAAGAGTTTTGGTTATTATCATCGTTAGATGAAGTCAACAATCGTGCTAAATTAAAGTGAGCAGTTTCTTCGAGAGCCTCTATTAGTGAGGTAAATGCAGTAGGACCACGTTTTTGAACTGCTAAATATAAGTCTCTTTTTCTATCTCTTTCTGTGACCAACTTATTCTGATAAAATTAGAAATAAATAGAATAGTTAAACAAAATGTCTACAATGGAATTTATAAAATGGAAAGATAATTGAAATTAATACATATGACAAAATAACGTGAAAATGATAAATCTTAAGGAAGAAATCACATAATATCAAAGAGGAAAATGTTTCATTTATTCAGTACATATTTATAATTTGTTTACTACTCATTATTTATATTACCTTGAATCTGTCAATCATGCTTTCAGTAAAAATTCTTTTTTGCAGTAAACGTGGTAGCAGTATGTCTAATTTTGTTAGTTCTATTAGTTCTACTAAATGCTGGGTAATTTTATTCCTATCCTCAATATTCATTTTATCTTAAGAGTTTAATTCACAACAGAAAGTTACATAAAATAAATTAAATTATTATTTCTACCGTTCTATACTTCTCTCTTGGTAAACACAAATGTAAATAAAAACTATCAAAGCATGTCATCTTGTCATGATATGTCACAACAGAAAAATATAATAATGTGTCACAACCTGTAGGCAACTTCTCACTGTGAGGCGAGTTGGTGTAGTTCACAGATAAAAGAAACATAAAGGTTTGCTTCCAAGATAATAACGAATACAAATATTAGGGTTTCGGCACACAAAACGATTAAATACATATTTAGAAAATAAGAAAATAAACGGCATTGGTAGAATTAGTAAAGTCCTTATCCTCCTTATCCATACCTTATCTATAATGATATTAATTATTTTTTCTCTCATTATATACTACTTTAAAAATATGCCTATCGCAATCAGCTTCTTTTTTTCTCAAAATATTACTACTTTTATTATGATTTAATTAATTTTAACCATGATCAAATCATTCATTGATATTGTTTTTTATTTTATAATATAATTAATTCACTTTGAAATTTTTTCTATTTTGAACTGCTAAATGAGGAAACGAAAGAAAACTTAAATGAGGATCTTAAAGACAAAGATTATTCTATTGTTTTTTGCTAATATTTATATATTAAAATTTTATTAATAAATAAAAGTCTGAAATAGACTATACATAATGATATAATTTCCAATATACAATAAATTGAATATTGATACATCATTATGATATTGCAGATCATTAATAATTTAAGTCATATTAAAATAACTTAAAGTTGTATTTAAAATTATTCAAACAATTTCTTATATATTTATATGTATGTCGATTTCAATAAAAATCATACATTATATGTCTCATTTATGTTTAATTCATAATTAGTGTATAAATCTTTGGTTTATTACATATTTCTTGTACACAATAATAATTGATGATTCAGTAAGCTGCTGTTAATTAAACAAATTCTTTCTATTCAAAAGAATAACATATTTTAAACTAAATGCAATGCTATATACTTCTTTAATAGCTTAATATTTCCATAATATTTTATAAAAAAAAAACAGAATAAAAATTTATTTACTAATTAAAAAATTATGCTATGAAAATGTTTCAAAAATCAAAGTTACCCTGCCTGATTCATGTGATTAATGTGCCATTAAATTCATATTTGCAGAATTATGAATATATATATCGTATACACGTCCAATAATTTATTCTCCAAATATTTAAAAATTAGCCCTAGTTGGATCATGATTTCATACATTTCAATATCAATATTTTAACATTTAAAAAAATCTTAGAACTCAAATAAACTGCTGACATGTATTATTTAAATTAAAGCAGGTTGTACCAGTCACACATTATATTTTTATTTGCTTTTTCTCACATTTGCATCATTTCTAAAGATTCAAACTGATATTTGGATCAATTCCAAATATTAGTTTGGGTGCACTAAATACATAAAAGTCAAATGTAAAAGTATAGCTCTCGTGATGCATTAATGTGTGTGTTATTAAATGCAAGCAACTGGCCTTCATAAAAGTGTTATTTAAATAAAGCACTACTTGCCTACAAATAATTTAAAATTTATTGTCATTGATTTAATGCTCAGAAAATAAAGATTTGGAGTTACGTTACTACATTTAAGTATGCAAAATATGTTGTATTATTGTTTATAAAAAACGTAGATATTTTATGATATACATATAATAGTTGAGAGAAAACAAATAAAAAAAATGAATTTTTTTGCTTTATAAGATAAACACTAGAATAAGTTAGAAATATCGTAAGATAATAAATATTTGGTTACTTTTTTATACAAATGTTTGTTTCTTATTTTCAAATTTTATTATATAAGCAGGCCTAGTTTAAATTTTATGCTAAGAACTCTTGTACATGAAAGCTGTGTCAATATATAATAGTAAACAATGCATGACTTTCAAACGAATTAAATCAATTGAATAAAATACATCATCTTTGTTCATATAAGATTTGGAAATACAACTTGGGTAAAAACTTTGAATCAAATCAAAGGTAGAAAAATGTACATTTGATTAGACTGAATATAAAAATTATTAATGTTAAAATTGGAATGGAATAGTATAATGCATTTGTCAAGTCATCATGGGCCATATAAGCTGGAAGTACATAAAAACTCTTATATAATAAATTCACTAGATATGTATCATCTAGAATAATATTTCAAGCAATTTCATTCAACACATTAAAAACCTAAACCATTAATTTAAAACATGTACTAAAAACAATGTACATACATATTCTTACCTATCTTAAACATTATAAAATCATATTAACATACATAATCTCACAATACATAATCACATAGCCTTGTTTGGTATTTTTATTCTATTCACAACATAAAATAAAAGTTTATTTTGACCTAATACTATAGGCTTATATGTGCACATATATATCTTTATGGTAATTATTACACTTACACTAACTATTATATGAGTATATAATATTTTACTGACTGATTACTTAAGTAATTGTAGTAATAGTTTTATCAAATACACCAATGAGCTGTCTTGTTGTCACATGATAAATCAATCATTAAAGATCTTGATTTACTTTTACGTTTTTTTTTTATTCACCTTGACTATCAAAACGAATATTTTATACCACATATATCATTTCGACATATTTTTGTTTTAGGTTCCATAGTTTACAATACTATAAAACCAGTTTTTTTGAAAATATTATACTTTACCGTATTATTAAAATTTTATATACAACCAAGTGAACAATTTTGTTGATCACAGGACTTCGGATATATCAAGTATTATGAACAAATTGCCAAAATTTAATGATGCATCATTATCTGAGGCAAAATGACTACATAGCAATGATATATCTATCAGATATATTATTTTGTTCCAAAAACTACAAAATCTTGTACGGCGTCGTCAATTCTTCTAAATTATTATCCCAATCAAATTCCGTAACTCCACTGCGAAGATTAGCCAGTTCGCCGAGATGGGCGAACCTTTGTTCAAAATTTGCATCTTTAGCCTTAAGTTTTTCAAATCTTTGGAACATCAATTTCTTAGCGAATGCGTATAATTGGATATCTAATGAATTCAGTTCGTGAATTCTGCGTGCTTGTTCGCTGGTGACAGAATTCAAAGCCGCACTGGACACCGTGGCATTATGCTGGTCGAAGGGAATGGCGAACCGCATGTTGAACGTTTCTTCAAATACGTATTGTGCCACCTTGAAAAAGTAATAAAAAATGTAAATAATAATATGCAAATAACAAAACCAGACTCATTAACTCTTTCGTTGTCTAGTCCGTTCAGTAGGGCTATTGGACGAATTGAGTATCACTGCTGAGAAAACACTACATAACGTAAGGGTTAAGTTTGAATATAAATTCACCCTAATATTAACAACTTAGGCTTGTTTGTTTGCTGACTATCAATCAGAGCTTCGTGGGTTCTATAAGATGTTGTCAAAGGAACTTATTCCAGGTTTCTACAAACGCTGTAGTAAACAACCCAGTAGGTTCGTTATCAATTCAAATAGACATTTAATCACTCACTCACGGTGTTTTTTTCTAAGATAATAGAAAAACAGAAGTGATATCACGTAGAAAATTCATTAAAGTTTGGAATAATATGCATAGGCACCTTATTGGGAGCATACACCGTCTAATCGTTAATATAGATATAAAAATTATAAGTGTGTTTGTAAGATATAAAGGACACATGATTATAATTTTAGTGAAAAACAAAAATTCTATTTTTCAAAATGTAAAATATTATATTTATACATCTAAGTTAGTTACCTTCTGGTTTCAGTCAATCCAAAATAAGCCATGGACGCTAAATTGCGTTTGGCGCTCTCCAACATCAAATGATCCCGTTCAGTCTTCGACATGGCTGAAGTATTATAGCAACCAACCTTGGACAAATCTGCTAACATTCTTGTTTGTCGATTTGCAGCCAAATTACTTGGGCATGCCATAAAGCTATCCAAATCCACACCATGCCATGTGGGACCAGTATAACAAGGCGGAAGCTCCCGAACTGTAGATAAATAAATATGGTAATAAACTGTGTCAAGTCTTTATATATTGCTTTCGTCAACATTTCGATGTGTAGTTGATTAAAAAATAGCGGTTATATAAAGATGATTAAAAGTTTCACATACTGGACGCATTTCGACCATTGCACCAGTGCCTGGAATTCTTCCACGTCGCTCCGCGCTGCACGTGCCTGTATTCCGACAAATAACGAGCAACAGGCTCACGAAGCAGGGTCACATAGAAGTATCTTCTTCTGGCTGGACCACCTTCGGTTCTGGAAGTGATAATCGTTTAACATATTAAGTTTTAGACAATAGTTAATGAGATAATAATATAATATTCAGTGTTTTTATGCGCGTTTGTGACAAATTTTCTACTGCCCCTTATATTTGTGATGATTTTTCACTTCTAAAACAGGTATTGCAACTGGTATTTTTACCATAATATAAAATGATATTGGTTCAAAACCAGTACCAAAGTTATAAAACTTTTTGAATTATATATGCGATGCTTTATTAACTTTCTTTAAGGTTAGTAATCGCAAAAAAATCGAAAATGAAAATTTTTATATATCTTTATGTTTCAAAGGTTTCTGAACATTTTGGCATACCTTAAAAAATGTATGTATGTGTTGTGCGTGTGTTGTGTGAACAGGTATCAACTGATTAGAATAATTCGAAAAACATTTCATTCGTATTAATTGGGAGACGTGGTGATTAGTTTTTGGCCAAGGCAAGTTCAGCCGTTTCAAAGATACGTGCCAGAAAATGTTAAATTTTATAGAGATTGCTTTGAAAAAAAATTAAACATTTGTAAAAAAATTCAAAAATAAAAATAAATTAATTTTTTTTAAATTCTTAAAATCTATTTTTTTCAAAGTTTTCAAAAAAACTTGAAGCTTTTTTAAACATTCTAGTTGCCAGTACGAGAAGTTCCAGCAATTTGCCTTAAAGCATGATGCCATGCACCACTAGTATGATTCTTATACGTGCAAGAAAATTTAAAAATTATGTGAAATATTTAAATATTTGAAATGGTAAAACAAGTAATTTTTCGCTCGAACATTGCAATTAGAAATCTTATAAAATATTACCGTATCGTATGATATTATGTCATATGTATATTTTTATGCCCACGTGCTCAATTTACATAATTCAAATATTTTTCCTTCTTTAGCAAATATAATAAACGATTTTATATGCTATAATCGTTTTCGCAGTGAACTTATTGGCAATGTGCACAATATGTTTTCATTATCTTTAGCCTTATATAAATACGAACGGAATATAGAAGGGAACAATGAAGATGCGGCTGAGGCAGATAAATATTATGCCTCATTGTTTACTTGGGTTCCTAAACAATCATCCGACTTTCTTTTCCTTTTGTTAAATCAATATATTTGTGTTGAAGTTAAGACGTAACCATGTTTATGTTCCTAACGGTGCCATAGAACATGAACTCCCAAGTTGATCTTTACGAACTTTTATTAACTTCGAAAACGCTTCGGAATACGAATCGCCTAAGATTATCGAAGTTTCATGATCATTAATCAATTATTTAATCCGTTTTATTACTTCGAGTAACTGTACATATTTTGTATGCTATTAACTTTATATAATTCAACCATATTCTATCAATTATTCAGTTTTAAACGTCCCCGTTTTAAAATAAATATATAAACTAGTTGGTTTGGTATTTAGCCTTGAGGAAAGTTACATAAACTTCCCAATATGTGTAATTAATCGACTTAATCAATAAAAATAAATCAATTATGAGTGATTAAAAGTATTCCGAGTGGATTTATTACACATAATTGAAAACGAACGAACACGTTAATCGGAGTATTTTCTAAGAGCAAATTTTAAAAAATCAATATTTTTTTAATTGAAACAGTTTCCGTAGGACTTTAATGACTTATTACGTTTATTAGGACCAAGTACTCTATCGTTAAACCAAGTGAATCGTCTAATTTTAACAAACGTCAAAAAAACTACCCATTTTCTCAAAATTTGATGAATTTTTAAAATTAAACTACTTGTCGTAAGGTCGTAAAAATTCAGTAAGTTCTATAGACCATAGTATATATCGCCAAAAAAAGTTTCATAAAAATCGCCTTTTTTTTAACAGTTAATTACAAGAAAACGGCTCGTAGATTTTCACCTAAAACTAATCAGTATTATTCCCAACTAATATTTTTCGAACAGTTTTTGATTTTTTTAAAATCAATTCGGTAGAATGAGCTTAAATGTGGACGAAAAGTTTAACACTTTTTTTTCAAATTACAAAGAAACGGCTTGGCAGATCGTCGCACAAAACTGACAAACGATAGTCCTCATCGAGATACATCAAATGGCTTTTAAATTTCTGAAATCGGTTCAGGCATTTTTGAGCATTCGTCGATGAAAGGTCTAATTTTGACAATTGCCAAATACGATACTAATTTTTGCAAACTTTGAAGAATTTTTAAAGCTAAACGATTTGTCGTATGGCCGTAATATTTTAGTATGATATAGAAACTATGATATCTACCGTCAAAAAAAATAATAAAAATCGTCGAAAAAAATTTTTAACACTTTATTCACTCAGAAACGCTAGTCCTCGTCGAGATACATCGAATGGCTTTTAAACTTTTAAATCGGTCTAGCCGTTTCTGAGAAATCGTCGATATACGGCAAAAAATCTGTTCACATACACATACACAATTTAGTTTCATTCGATTCAGAATGGCTTGAAACGTCGAGAAAACATAAAATTAGCGAATCGGGTTTTTTGATGAAAACAAAACTTCTCTCTTCGGGAAGTTAATAATTAATGAAAAGAATATTATCAATTACCTATCTAGTTCCTGGTCCACACAGTTTGTGAGTTCGGTCCAGTCGGCGTGCAGGCCGCACCGCCATCCTGTCGAGTATCGTGAGAATAGCCAGATTTCCTTCCTATTCGGCCTGAAGCAGTAGCATCGCTTCTTATTGCGCTGACAGGAGCAAGGGCGCTGCAACGGATAAGCGGAAACTGCTCGTCATACAAGATACAAGAATCATGAAAGATTTATTTAATTAAATTTGATCCGATTACAAATTTAATGCGACGACAGATTATGATGATCAATCATAATCTGGGACGAGGCGTCTTGAATTATTCGTAGTAAAAATATCTTATTATTCATAGATAGTTATTTAGCATATTTTTTATAATAGACACATTTTGATTGTAAATTTCTCTAATCTTTAAAGATTACATGACTGCATAAAAAGATTCCACAAAATTCGTTGACGTCAACTGTAATCAGTAGCTACCGACAAAACATTACAGAACATACATTGCTCCGGTACAGATTCTGATTAGAAACGCTCATATTTTTTCCAATTTATGGCCAAATAATTCAAAATGACTTGAAATGTAAACATAAACTGAGTAAAACATAAAATTAGCAAGTCAGATTATTGTTAGCCATATAAGGTAGGGAGGGCACAAAGATCCATTTGACTTTGAGCAATTGTATTGTGAAAATCAAACCATTATATCACAACAAATAACACATGTCAAACAAACAATTATATGACTATGTTAAGTAGCTAACTCATCATTTTAGAAATATGTTATTTTAGCTGTTTTTTTTTTCAAAAAAAATTATCCAGGTCCTTTTACCCCACGGACACGGAATGTTTTCAATTTTAAAGGAATTTTACAAAATAATAGCTGATTGTCCAACCAATGCAAAATATAAATTTCATGGGTACATTTTACACAGAGATAACACTGTAAATAATCTTGATCTGGTTATTGGTCTGAAATATTTATGGGCATTGTTGGAATAACTATTTATTCAATTTCAATTTTTCCAACTTAATTTACTTTTTTAACTTCCCCTAGGGTGAGTTATAGTAATGAGCCAAAATCGAAAATGATTTTGTTTGCATATCTTTGCAAAAATTTGTAGCCTGGTCCTTTTTACCCCATAGGCAGGGGATGTTTTGAATTTTAAAGGATTTTACCAAATAATAGCTACATTATTCAACCAAGTATTTTTAGAAATAATACTGTTATAAAACTGATGTGGTATTTCACCAAAAATAACCAGCGGGGTTGAAATTTATTTAACTTATCTTTTGTAAAATTCCTTTTTTAACTTAATTTACTTTAATATTTACTATTTTTTATTGTTTACACCTTTGCCAGGGTAAAGATTCAATTGGTTCTTCTTACCCCAGCCACGTGCTAGTTTTTATGAACGCTTAATTGCAACTTCTTTCAACTCGTTTATTTCAGAGCACAACTTTTTAATTTACTACTCTTGCATATTCGAAAATTGAATGCTAATAAAAAATTTTTGATAAGAATTTTAAAATAAGAATGATAAGAAGAAGATTTTTTGACTCTTTACATTACAATTATCCCATCTAAGGGGGCGTCAATTAATCACTTCAGTGCGAGTTTTTAAGGATTTTGGACCTCCCCTCCTCTTTGGTAATACATGGTTATATTCAAAATTACCCCCCTCCCCCCGCAAACCATCACGTGGGTTTTTAGTTATGGGAGAAAACTGAAAAATTTTTGAATAAAGTAATTTTTTTTTGAAAATGTTTGATTTAAAAAAAACAGTTGAAAAAAAATACACGTGATATCTTACTATTCCCCCTCCTCTCCCAGATAATATTTCGTGATTTTTTGTCAACCCCCCCCTTCCCCTGAAAACCTCACGTGATAATGGACGCCCCCTATCTCATATACTAAACCTTTAATTTATGTAAACTCACATTTTTTTTAAACAAGTACTTGGAAATTTTCCATTTCCAATAATAAGTGGTTAAAGGATTTTAAGAACGATATATTTATGAGATTAACAATGCCTCAATCACAATGATAATTTATGTAAGCTATGTATTTCTCTTATGATTTATTAAATCAAAACACGAAAAAATAGCAGGATATAATTTAAATGTAATATCGTCAACATTTAATGATTATATGTTAAAACATAAATCCCTCAATTCACCACAAGTTATAATTACAGAAACAGTATTATATCGCCCCATCAGTGCAGGTTGAGTAATTTGTACCATCCTCCTGGTCATATGGGATTGGACGTAAAAACGGATCAAACAGACGCGTAAGGGCGAGGAGAAAGACGCATCGGTGATATATCATTAATGATATATAAAGCTGAGCCAGTGTTTATCTCGGGGTAAGCAATTAACCCCAGAACGGTCGTTTATCAGTCTCCGATGTAACAGTTGCATCTGTTGCAGACCAGCTGTATTATGCTGGTACTGCATGCGGAATAATGGATTCGAGATTCCGCCAAAACTTCCCACCGCACGTATAGTAATAGTTCTACTGATCGCTGTGGTCTGTCTTAGCCAAAGGGCTGGGGGATGCTGATGATGCCTTGCTAAAAATAGCAATGTCAAAAACTAATCAGCACGTCTCCTTATCAACAGCAATCGAGTGTTTTTGAATAATTGAAATCGGTTAAACCGTGTTCCCGAAATCGACGACGAAATTTTGTATCCGCACACACACACACATACATCCATTTTTTCTAAGGTATGCCAGAATGTTCAGAAACCTTTGAAACGTAAAGATATATACAAATTTTCATTTACGATTGGATTGTGTAAATTATTTAACAATGAAAAATTCAGACAAAATATTAAAAAGACTTTTTTCTTCTAAACGATTGTCCCTGAATATGAATTAAGCACATATTACCTAGTGATTACATGAAGGGGCTTGCTATTATATAAAATAATTATTAATATAGTGACATGAGTCTTGTTTTAGTGGTATCATTGTACTATAGCTTGATAAAATAGAAGAATGAATATTTTACTATTGAAAGAGAGAAGACAGAAAAAAATCACTAATAATTTTTTAGATTATATTCCTAGGAGACAATATCTATATCTACTAATTTCTAATAAATATATTGTATTCTTCATGCATCTTGTGTTCACTTATTGTTTTTGTACAAACAGATCGCAAAATTAAATAAATAAAAAAATTGTTTTTTTTTATTATTTTTTTGAACAGCAACCAGAACCTGTGAGCTGTTGGGCTGAAACTTCTCCTTCCTTCGTATTTTTTTAGATGGTAACCCAATGGTCCATCCATATTTGATAATTTTGTTATTAGAATTAATCTAATAGGGCTGACCTTTTATTGGTGCAGCAATGTCAAGCAAGGGCTATTTTCACTTGGAAACATATTGCTATCTATATTAAAAAAAATTAAAATGATTAAATAATAATTTAAATGCATTCAATTGACCCTCCAAAATTAGCGCTGTACTGACTCAAATAACCTCCTCAGCAGATGTGAAATTGACCGCTAATTTTGTTAGCGCTCTCGATTGTTTACAATATTATAGTATTGATGACAAATTATTTGCCATAATTTTATATAATTAATAAGAAAATTTAACGTAAAACGTTTTCTCTACTTTGCGATTGCTGCCATATTGATTTGGCTAGAGCTTTTGAAGTCGATCCAGAAATATTTTATTCAATCTGGAAATATTCAACCGCCTCACTAGCAAATCTGGATAGGATATCTAGCCGCAAAACAATCACTTATCGATTGTATCCAATTCAATAAAAGTGTTCGAAACCGTAAATCCAGCTCTTCGCCTAATGTAGCAATATTAGAGCCGCGTACTGGGTAGTAAATTTTAGTCGATGTGCATCGTTTTAACAGCGACTTTATCGAACTTGTCTCGAACGCTGACATTTATTTGTCAGTTAACGTACTCCGCCTGAATTAATGGTAAACTGTACCTTCGGGACAGCGATTTGCGTAATATGTGCTATAATGTCCTATGGATGCCCCAGCGATATCCCATCGATACCCCAGCGATGTCCTTTTGATGTCCCAGACTATTCAAGTGAATAAACTAATAGTTGTGTTCACTTATAACATAATTCGAGATTCGAAAAAAATAATGTCTATCTACATGCAAGAGTTTGAGCTCTATTTTTGGTAATATTGAATAAATCTGCTGTTCTTCTAAAGTACAAAAGTTTTAGCAGAAGTTACAGCGTAAACCGATAATGCATAACATAAATCAAATACCTTAATGTAATAAAAATCTCTTAAGTCCGCACTAAAGCAATATATAAAAAATTACATCGTAATTAACCCTTTCCATTTAAAATATCTTTTACTACGTGATGCTCAACCAAGCCTGCATCCATTCCAGCTAAATTAGCTTATAATTCAGTAAGAATGTTGCTCGAAATACAGGCCGGGCAGAATATATAATATGTCCAATGGTGTATAACTAATTACAAAGTGATATATCTTACAGCAAACGTACGTTAAACACCGAAAACGCTTTATAATAATTACCGTGGATTTATGAACATAAACTGCATGTGTTCATAATGGTGTATACGTGTGTATTACGCTAATTACCATCGTGCACAAGGAGAAAATTGAATTTGAAAAATATTTGCCGATAAAAATAAAAAATAGGGAAGAAATTGAGTTAGATTAGAAGAGCCGGGAGAAATCTTATATTTGATAAAAAAATAATATTAATTCAGGTAGAGATCGCGTTATTAATTTTCCAGCGTGCAGGAAAATTGTCTAGATCAAAGTATATTCATATATTATGTATACAAATATGCATAGCGTTTATGCATTTTTTAAATAATTTATAATTACTCTTAATACTCAAATATAGACTTATTGGTTCTAAAATCTTATTCAACACGTAGCATTTACCAATTCGATTATTATGTAGTTAATATCATGTCAGTAAATACTAAATTATTCTAGAAAGCCTAATTAAAAGTTGATTGATTGCAAATATATATATATATATATATATATATATATATATGTGTGTGTGTGTGTGTATATTTATTTATCTATCTAAACTTACTAAGCAATATTTTCACATTTTGCTTCCTGAATTCGCTGTATCATATTTATATGTATAATATAAGGGTCATACAGTTGAGTAAACAAGGTTATATCAAATATTATAAAATCAAATATAGCAAACCTCTGATCTACTTTTTAATAAAAACACCCTTCAAATATGAAAAAATTCTTGAATTCAATATCGATATTCATTTTACTTATATTTATGTTTTCAAGCGTTTAAATTTTACGCTTTTCCAATATTATATTCATATGATTCAATAAAAAAGGTAATAATTTCAATTTTGAATATGATATTAAATATTATGGAAATATTACGTTATAAAAACAGCATCGAAATAAATTATTTTGTTAAAATAGTGTATAATTATTTGGCTCATGGAAGATCGATGGTCATATTTAGGTTTCCTTGTGATTGAATTTTATAGATTTGCAATAATATATTCATATGATTATTAAAACAACCTCTACATAATTACATCAAATATTACATTTAAATATGATATTAAATATTATGAAAATACTACTTCATATAATGCATCTAGAAATAAATTGTCTTCTGGATCTATAAACAAATCCATTGTATTTTGCCAAAAGTATCAATTAATTATTGTTTGTTATTATGTACTGTGATCATTGTTTTGAGTTATCGTTATTTAAAAAATGCATTAAGCTATTTAAAAAAATTAAATTAAATTTATTTATTTAAGGGTAATTTATTTAACACGGTATTTAGTATTTTGGTAATATAATATAAAAAAACGAATTTCGAGATTTAAAAAGTTTGAGCACAATCAAGGGTTTATCTTCTCACTCCAAAAGTCCAAGAACTGAGGCAACAGATGTTGTCTCTACAAACAAGGCGTCTCATTAAAGAGATATGACGTCTGTAAATGAAACAAAAAAATAGCATCGCGTTTTTAAACCACTATATTTCTAATTAAGTAGACAAACACCCGCATTATAATTGCATATTTGTATATAAGCTTATTCAAGTATTAATATATAGCTGGAGAGGCACCAAAAAGGCATGCCCAACCTTTCGAACGATTGGAAATTTTATAAACTACTATTTATGAATAAAATTAATAAATTATTATACCAATTGACTACTTGTTTAAAATATATATTCGATATTTCATTATATTTTCGTGTTTGTTTTATGCTCACATGGTCACACATTGGTCCAAATAAATGCAATGTTTTTTCATAGAACCCAATATTCAATTAATAATAACTAATTTCAATATTTGTTGTTATGGAAATGAACTGATGCATAATGTATCAGAATTACTGTAACATGTAACATACGAATTGAGTCGATCACAAATAAATGAATTTAAAAATACAAATATTTTTAATATTTTTTGTTAGTGATATTGAATACCTATGCCAAATTTTGAAAAAAAATTGCAATGAACCGATTATGTACAGATACTTTGAATTAAACAAATAACTTATTTTAATGTATTGCAAAATATTAAAATATTGTAAAGTTAAGTTTCCTGTGGCAAATTTAAAGCTAATCATTTAATTAAATCCATCTTTTCAATGTTAGGATCACAAAATTATATAGAATTTTATAATACTATTTTGAAATTTTATCAATACTATCAGTTTCGTAAATACTTATTTCATAAACTAAATGTGCAAATATTTCACAAATAATCGGTATCAAAACCACTCATATTTGAGATTTTTAATTCGCAAATATTTACTTCTGACACATTGATTTTATTGCTAACCATCCCAATAATGATATATATATATATATATATATATATATATATATATATATATATCAATTTTATTATCAAGATCAATGATAAATTAATGCCATCTTTTTAGATTAAAATCTTAATAATTTTTTAATCCTTATAAATAATAAGGGATAATAAAAAATAAATTTATCTCTTATGCAAACCTAACAATGTAATAAGCTCAATATAAAATCGAATTAGTAAAGAGTCTGCGCTCTTTGCATCAATTTATTAACTAAGTAATAAATATCTTCAGTAATAAATTTAAATATGTTGTAAATTAACAAACGCTTGCTAGTATTTCCAGTGCAGAACTTACAAAAAAGCAAAAAAATTGATAGTCGTGATTTTGAAAAAGATTTTCAGTAGTATTGCTCTTTGACCAGTATGACTAAAATAGTAGACCAATTTGTTGAAAATGATCCAAA